CTTCATAAAAATAAGTGAAGTTGCTACATAAAAGAAACTATGGAAACAACAAAGAAACAAATAAAACATAGTGAAAACCCAAATAAATTAGAAAAAAATGGTAATTTAGGGAATTCCTTGAAAAATTGTATAAAGCATAAAGCAAAAATGAAAGAAATGCCAGTCATCAGAAAAATAAAAATATGTGAAAAAGAGAAATGAATGATTCAAATTTCGTAAAATAGAGCTCTCACAAAGTAGTGTAGGTGGGGGGAAAGGGAAGCTTTAAGCATATAAGAATAACATTTTTAAAAATCTCAATTAATTAATTCTATTAGAAAGACAATGGGGGTAAGAGGGCACCCAGACATGCTGGTGAAATTTCTTATTTTCTAGATTACAAAGGAAAATTTGCAAATTTTAATCATGAAATAATAAAACTGGGTTACTTACAGAATAACATAAGACTCTTTTATAATAGTATTAAAAGACAATTTAACATCTATTTGAATTGCTATAATTTTTTTAAAAATCTGGCAATACTAACTACTACTGAGGATATGTACTGAAAGAGACTTTCATTCATGTTGCTGGTGGGAATGCAACATGGTACAGCTACTTTGGAAGACAGCTGGCTAATTCTTATAAAGTTAAACATAGATTTACCACCTGACCCAGCAATCACACTACCAAGTATTTAGCCAACTAAACTGAAAACTTATGTTCGTGGAAAACCTTGTGTGTAAACGTTTATAACAATTTTATTAATAATCACCCAAATTGGAAACAACCAAGATGTACCTCAACAGGGGAATAGTTAAATTGAGTGCAATGGACTAAATGTTTGTGTTGCTTCCAAATTCATATGTCAAAACTCCAATGTAATTAGGAGGTGGGACCCTTGGGAGGTGTATTAGTCAGGGTTCGTCCAAGAAACAGAACCAAAATGTGGCTAAAACAAATTGAGATGTAAAATACTGGATATTGAAGACTTACTAGAAAAAAGGGACTATTAAATATATTATTATTTTTCTATTGACATTGCATTTATAATATTGTAAATATATTGACAGAGACAAAAATATTTTTAATTAAATTTCACCTGTTTCTTTTTACTATTTTAAAAATGTGGCTTTTAGAAAAATCAAAATTGCACATTGTGGCTTCCCTATTTGTGGAGGCAGACAGTACTAACTTGAGAGAGCCGGGCTGCGGTCAGAAGAAGGGGAATAGCAACCTGGCTCAGTGCCCGCAGGCTCTGTCAAAAGACCTTATCCTCTCTGACTCTGTGGGTTTGGGGAAAGGGAACCACCCTGCATGAGAAGTTTTTAGCATTGTGCCTTCAACGCTCTTTAGTAAGAGTCTTAGAATAAATACTTAATAAATAAATGCCATTATAATTCTCAGGCTGGTTCCAGTTAAAATGCAACATCTCAGCTCCCCCCTCCACACACACACACACACACACACACACTAGGGCACCTTAAGTAGGCAATTTTATCTCAGAGCCAGTTTCTAAGAGAAAGAAACACGCAGACAGGTTAGGAAAGGCTGCCCCCTAGTGGATAGAGAGAGAAGGATTCCGTCGGAGAGCCCCAAGCGCGAGCTGCCCCTGGGCCTGGGTGGGTCCCAGCTCACTTGGGGTGTAACTTGAAAGGAAACCCTAGACACTCGCCGCTGCTCCTTCAGGGGATTTCTTCGGACCCCGGAGAGGGGCACCAGAGAAGATCTAGACAGGCTGTGTCTAGGGTTGGGGAGGGGATGGAAGAAGGAGGCAAGCTGCGGGCGCTGTGCCTGCAAGTGGAACTCAGGGTCCTGGTGTCAGCCAAGGCAGGCGGGGCCGGCCCAGGCAAAACTAATAAACTGGCGATATCTGTTTGGGTATTGCTGATAGTGATAACTAACTTCTGTACAGGGTGCTGCTTCGATGAGGACACCACCTGTGTGACCCGGGAAGGAAACGGGCAGGGAGAGGTTCAGAGACCTAGCTAGGGTCACCGGGAGTGTGGAAACAAGGGCTGGACAACCATTTGGCCCAGCTTAGCTACCTCCCTCTAGGAATGTGGTCAAATTCCGAAGTCCACAGGGCCTCTTTTTGTTAGGATACCCAGCTGGTTAGATCTCAGCCAGGAAAGAGAGAACGAATAGGATCTGACCTCTGACTAAGCAGGTAAATAGCCTTGCCATCACCCCAGGAGCAACTGACATAGGTCCACCAGCTCAACAGGCCGGGGAAACCTTACTGCCCACAGCGCAGGGCTGTTTTAGGGCTAAAGATACCAAGTAAGCACAGGTGCTTTTATTCATTAATTTTTTAAAATATATTTTATTGATTTTTCACAGAGAGAAAGGGAGAGGGATAGAGAGCTAGAAACATCGATGAGAGAGAAACATCGATCAGCTGCCTCCTGCACAACCCCTACTGGGGATGTGCCCGCAATCAAGGTACATGCCCTTGACCGGAATCGAACCCGGGACCTTTCAGTCCGCAGGCCGACGCTCTATCCACTGAGCCAACCGGTTATGGCTATCATTAATTTTTTTATTTATGATTTAAGCTTTTACTTGGGAGAGATACAACCCAATTATTTGAATAAATAATAAGATAAACCCTTATTATTTGAATACTCCATAAATTACATAGGAATGACAATTAGATGCACAATTCATTCTCTCAGTGATAAAAGAAATTTTGCTAATAAAATACTAGTAAGTCTTAGCAAAAAGGAGGGTTGAGTTGTTCCTTCCACTTCAGATAAAATATTTTTCAGCATCTATTTAAAAAAAGTTATGGTTGAGAGTATTACAGGTATCCTCTATTTTTCCTACGTTGCCCCCCCTCACCCCCAGCCCAGTTCCCAACCCACCTTAGGTCTTCAACACACTATTGTTTGTATCCATGGATTATGCACATATGCATTTTAATTATTTGGTTATTCTCTGCCTGACCCCCTCTCCCCTTCCCTCTGAGATCCGTCAGTCTGTGCTATGCTTCCATACTAGCAGAGGTGCCTGGTTTGTAAATGATGTGATTGTGCTCGTAAAAGCTGCCACTGAAGCCCTGGCCAGTGTGGCTGAGTTGGATGAGCATCATTCAGTTCACCAAAAGGTGGAGGGATGATTCCTGGTCAAGGCACATGCCTAAGATTTCAGGTTTGGTCCCCAGTAGGGGTGTGTAATGGAGGCACTGATCAATGTTTTACTCTCTCTCTCTCTCTCTCTCTCTCTCTCTTCTTTTCTCTCTCTAAAATCAATTAAAATATATTTTTCAAAATGTTGCCATTGAGGATTCCCATGTAATAAATGATCTTAATCAATTTAATTATTTTAGGTAACCAAGTGGTCATCTCAGTGATGGAGACCAGTGTCCGGCACCACCATGGGCACAATTCAGGGACTTGGGTGGGGCTGTTAGGTACTTGCAGAACAATATCATTTGGGCTGCCTCCTCCTATCCTGCAGTGTCCTGGGATCAGGGGAGAAATGGGTGTGCATGGTTCTTGCATTGAGGTAGAATCCATTCCTTGTACCCAAAGAACCCTTCAAGCCACAGAACCCCTGTGCTCATCCCATCCCCTGCAACTGACCATCTCTGGAACTTCTCTTGAACAGATGCCCCTCCTAAACTGCCAGTTTCTCAAGGGCTACAGGGAACGGCGCCTAGCTCACTTGGTCCTGAGCTTCATCACCATGGGATATGTCTGGCAGGAGGGAGAGGCACAGCCTGCAGAGGTAAGGGATAAATTGATGTCTGTCTGGTCATGGGGTAGGTCTGCTGCACCTAGAACATGCTGTCTGCTCGGCACCACAGTGTTTTTCTGGAAAATGGGTCCTTTCTTGTTCTTTTCTTTGGGTGTCAGTTGAAGAAAGGGCAAAGAGCCTATTTAAATGAAAGATGGCTTCCTCCTGACTGAGAGGTTAATTTTTTTTTAGAACTGGTAGCCCTTTTATTACATTTTGAATCTATTTTTATCTGTCACCCACTCCCAAGAATGTTTGAAAAGTTGCATTTGAAAGCAAGTTTGAAATCTCATAAAAACTTACTGATAGCTCATATCTGACAGCATTTTGTACTGCTAATACATCAATTGTCTTGGTCAATTTTCACAGTCCCATAAGGTAGATAGATCTAAGCTGTGTCCAATTTACAGACAGCTGAGGACCATGAAAGTCCAAGGTCAGATGGCCAGTTTATGGAAAGTCCAAGGCCAGACTCCAAACTGTCTAATTTCACTTATGTCCACTCCTTCCTCCAGAGGTACAGGTTGACATTTACAACACAACTGCTTGCTCTCTACCAATTATTGGTTTGACTCTTAACAATTCATGTAAATCTCTTCTGAATCTTTGCATAACATTTTACAGTTTCAGCCTGAAACTTGAGACATGAAATCTCCGAGCTCCACTAATTATAGTATAAAAGATGACTGCTTTTCATTTTATATAAATGCATCTTTTCCAGATATCAGGGAGCTGCTCATGTTCCAGCATTCCATGGTCAAGGGAATGGCCTATACCTGTTTTGTTTGTCTGGTTAATTCTACCTCTTATCTTTCAAGTAGGTGCCTGAGACTCCCTGTGAGAAGATAAAAAGGAAAGTGACAAAGCAAAGTATAAAGCTGCTTTAGATTTTTTTAAATATATATTTTTTATTGATTTCAGAGAGGAAGGGAGAGGGAGAGAGAGATAGAAACATCAATGATGAGAGAGAATCATTGATAGGCTGCCTCCTGCACACCCCCTACTGGGGATGGAGCCTGCAAGCCTGGCATTTGCCCTTGACCACGCATTTTCCCTTGACCAGAATCAAACCTGGGACCCTTCAATCTACAGGCCAATGCTCTATCCACTGAGCCAAACCAGCTAGGGTTGCTCCAGATTTTTTAAGTGTCAGTATAACTTCCCATAAGCAGTAGCCTGAGGTGACCTCTGAAAATGGTTCACTGTTCATTGTTTCAGAAAATCCCACAAAGTCATGCCAATCAAAAGATTCAAATCTTCATGTTCACTTTAAGAACACTCGTGAAACTGCCCAGGTCATCAAGGGTTTCATATCCAAAAGTCACCAAATATCTGTCACTTTACAGAAGCAACATGTACCATTCCATCCTTACAATGGTGGAGTTGGCAGGTGTGTTCAGGCCACACAGTGGGGCTAATTGCAGGGTCTGTGGCTAAATGCTGAATTTGAGGGTATAGATGTAGATTCTCTGGTTATTGAGAAAATCTAGGTGAACAGAGCTCCCAAGATGCAGCACAGAGCCCACAGAGCTCCTGGGTGAGGAACCCCCATCAAAGCTCTCCCTGCCACATGGGAAGGATTCTTACTGAAAAGGGAAGATTGTTCCTAAACCAGAAGAGGAGGCTGCACAGAATAAAAGTACATCCCAGAAGAAATGGAAGAGACAAAACTTATGGCCCAGGAATAATTTAGCATAAAATAAATGTCAAATAAATGTTAGTACATGTAGCTTTTAAAAAAGTATGTGTCTATTGTTAGAAAGTTTGATATCTAGGCCCACAATAGAACATCCCAATTAGGTTTCCCTCCCTTGCCTGTTCTCCAAACCATAATACTACATCAGGGAAGGGGTAGAGAGGGTGACAGATGATGGAGTCTCCAGCTTCAAGGAGGGTCCATGTCTTTTCAGGCCCCATGAGCCCCCTACTCTCCAGCCTCAAATCCTATCTTACTTTTTTTGTATCTTCTCTGACTTTTCAGCTAAGTAGACACCTCTCTTCTGCACTGTCCTCCTCATCTCCTGCCTCCTGAGGGAAGCTGACCTACGTTTGCATTTTAAAAGTCTTTAAAGGTCTTTGTTGCTTCTACCTAAGAAACAGATCTATCCCAAGTCTATTTATAAATATTATAGGGAAAAACAAAGGCAGAAGCAAGGCTTCTAAGTAGATATTTCTATTTTAAAGGTAAATAAAAATGGAAGTGGGAGCAAGGAACCCAAAGGATGTTCTTTTGGATCTAGACTAGCCTTGTCCACAGATAGATCTGAGTTGCTTTCCTGGATTTGGGGGGCAGAGTGTTCCTCAGGTAGTTCAGGGGTCGAATGGGAACTGTTTTGAGGTCACTTATTTGAAGTTGTTATTGGGTTTGACTTATGAAGTGACTAATGGAATCAGTGACCACACATAAACACACATATACATATATGTGTGCACACATACAAATATATAAAAGCCTAAGTGACCGGAAGACCAAACAACTGGTCCCTATGATGTGCACTAACCACTAGGGGACAGATGCTCAATGCACAGGATTGGGCTCCCTCCTATCTGGATCGGGCCTGTGAGGATCGAGCCAAAACCAGCTATCTGACACCACCCGAGAGGTCCTGAATTGCAAGAGGGCGCAGGCCAGGCCAAGGGACCCCACCAGTGCACAAATCCATGCACTGGGCCTCTAGTACATATATATGCTTTCAGTTTTATACACACAAATGTACATATATCTACATATCTACACTAATAAAAGAGAAACATGGTAATTAGCGTACGACCGCTACCCTTTTCATTGGCTAATCAGTGTGTATATGCAAATTAACTGTCAGCCAAGATGGCGGCCGGCAGCCAGGCAGCTGGAAGCGAACATGAGGCTTGCTTGCTCCAGTGAAGGAGGACTCCAACCTTCCCCGCCTCACTTGCCGGCCTCTCAGCTGCAACTCTAAGCAACTATGTACTATGTTGCAAATAAGAAGCTAAACAAAACCCCAGAAACCAGCTGGACTGAAAGCCAGGCGGACCGAAACATTGTATCCATGTTTTCAGCAGTGAGGCCTCAGAGCTAAAGCTGGCCCAGAATAAAAAAAGAAAAAAAAAGAAAAAAAGGAGCGGTTGGGAGCTTAGTCACTCGCTTCCGGAAAACAGCCCTCAGCCCCTCACCCAGACTGGCCAGGCACCCCAGTGGGGACCCCCACCCTGATCCAGGACACCCTTCAGGGCAAACCAGCTGGCCCCCACCCGTGCACCAGGCCTCTATTCTATATAGTAAAAGGGTAATATGCCTCCCAGCACCGGGATCAGCGGAGCAGCGAGGCTCCCGGCATCGGGATCAGCGTGACAGGGGGCAGCGCCCAAACCCCCCTGATCGCCCTGTGGCTCTGTGTGTGACAGGGGTCGGGGCCCCAACCCCCCAATCGGCCCTACCCTGAACGTGACTGAGGGTGGCATCGCAACCTCCCGATCTGCCCTGCTCTGTGCATGACGGGGTGGCGCCCCAACTCCCCAATCGGCCCTGCTCTGAGCCTGACCAGGGGCTGCACCTAGGGATTGGGCCTGCCCTCTGCCACCCAGGAGCAGGCCTAAGCCAGCAGGTTGTTATCTCCCGAGGGGTCCCAGACTGCGAGAGGGCATAGGCCGGGCTGGGGGACCTCCCTCCCCCTCCGCGAGTGCACAAATTTTTGTGAACCGGGCCTCTAGTCTATACATATAAATAGATAGCTAGATAAATCGATAGATTCATATAGATTTTATATTACTGCTCATTACTTCAGCTCCAATTTATGCTTAAACACTTGGTAATGCCCTTTTATGCATAATTAACATTCAGATATTATTTTATACTACATGTATATGTGTGCACGCCAATCTTCTACTTTTCCACATACATTTCAGATTGTACTCATAAACAATATATTCACTAAATTGTTAACAGAAAAAACTTGAGAGTGAGGTGTGCATGTAGAGATCACTCAGATAATCCAAGTTTATCCCCAAGTCGTTTCTCTACCACAGGATTGCTGAAATAAAAGATAGCCACAGTTACCTCCCCTGCTGCACTCTTTCTAGGATGTGCTCATTGTCAGGATTTATATCTGATAGGTTCTGCCAAGAAACCTTGCCCTTCCCTTTGTGGAAGTCTCCAGGGACTTGGGGCTCCCTCCCATCCTGGTCCATGCAGATTTGGTGCTAACAAATTGGACTACAAGGAATTCTGAAAGGTAAGAAAGGAGAGAGTGCTTTGGATTTGAACAGATGGAAACAGAGTAATGGACAGTCTTGTGACCTGCTAGAAAGCTCCCGGCTTGTTCAGCTATTTTTTGATTAAAGATGTTCATATTTATTGTCTGCCATATGGTTGCAGAAAAGAGATGAACTTGAATACATGTTCAAAAATCAGAGGTCCCAGAAATTTCCTCTCAACCCACATTGCATTGATGCAGACCACTTTCATTTGTTTGCTGCCATATCAAATTTGCAGTTCTCAACCCAACCTTAAAGCTCCTGCATATTCAGGTTTCAATCATTCTCTAATATGTCCTCCATTCAAGACAATTTAGGACCAGGAATGCAGTAAGTGTTCTTTATATAGAGATTACAAATGAATGATTATGTATGAATTGAGAGTAGGTACTCTAGGTATGTCAGATTAAAAATTTGATTGCCCAGCCAGTGTGGCTCAGAGGTTGAGCATTGACCTATGAACCAAGAGGTCATGGTTTGACTCCTGGTCAGGGTATATGCCTGGATTGAGGGCTCAATCAGCAGGAGGCAGCCGATCAATGATGCTCTCTTGTGATCAAACTCTAAAAACATATTTAAAAAACATATTTATTTGATTAATAATGCTATCTATCCCCACCAACTAGAATCATTCTTTCAAAAGTTTAGGTTGAGGATATTGGCATTTATCTAAAGAAAAGTAGAAGGAGTTTTTAAAAACAAGAAATTACAATAAATAGAATGGAGTGGAAGTGGTGAAGTATTTTTTAATAATATTTATTGTTGAAATTATTACATATGCCCCCTTTGTTCCCCATTGACCCCTTCTAGTCTGCTCCTGGCCCCCACTCTAGGCCTTCACCGCACTATTGTCTGTGTCCATGGTTATTTATATAAGTGTCCCTTTGAATTTATTTTTACAGCCAAATTTATTTCAGGCCATAGATGCAAGAAACAGCACTTTTGTGACTTATGAAAATGGCTAAAGGGACATTTAAGTTAGATGTGAGGAAGACTTCCTTAGTATAAAGGTATGGGTAAATACAGGATTGCCAGACATGATGGGAATCTGTTTTAAAGAATTAAGTGCTTATGAGCCCTTAATTAGCTCAGTTGATTAGAGCATCGTCTTAATATGCCCAGGTTGCAGGTTTGATCTTTGAATCAATGAATGCATAAATCAGTGTAACAAAAAATCAATATCTCTACATTCCTCTCTCTCTAAAAATCAATTAAAAATATTTTAAATTATTAAATAAAGAACATCTATATATATAAAAGGCTAAGTGACCAACTGTCCATCCGTCTGACTGATTGACCAACCAGCCACTGGCACTGGCAACTTAAAAAATAAACATTGACTTGCACATGTGCGATACATATAAAGCTCTCGCTGGCGCCAATTGCACGTGTGTTTTAATTTTATAATACTATATTATATATACTATTTTGACATGTAATGTTTTGCAGTAATGTAATTACAGCATGAATCTTTCTTCTAATTAATTTTCTTACAGTGTGCATGGATCTGTGCCCTGGGACACTAGTAGCTTAATAAAAAAACAACAACATAACTTTTAAGACTAATTTATATGGGCCATCTCATCTGTGTAAGGACTTCTGAGCCCTGGAATTTTTCTACAATTATTAATTACAATCTTTGACAAATTCTGCTTTAATAACAAAAATTGGTGACTGATATTCCCATGGGAAGGTGATGAATCTGGCTCAGAATTTGAACAGAAAGAAAAAAAATAAATAGATGTGAAGAAATTATTCTGTTCAAGACATTGGATATTTAATAATAAACCAAATCTCTGATTCAAAGAGAAAAAGAGGAGTAGGGAAAGTTAAAGGGAAAAAATGGGTAGGCCAGGATGTTAAAGTCAAGAAAACAACAAAACGCTAATTTCTCAGTGGGCAAGAATGCAGGGCTAGTTTAATCTCAGAGAGGCAGAGACAATCCCGGGTTCAGTGGTGATTCTTCTTGGCAATTATTTTTTTGGTGTCTCTTAATATGCCTCGCACAACACAAAGTACAATGAAGAAATGAAAGCAAAGTACAGCCCAAAGTGGTTAAATAACAAATCAAAACAGTATATGAGAAATGTCAGTGACACAAACAGTAAACCCTTCAGAATTTCAAAGACATTACATCATTGCAGACTTATAAAAATCAGGGAAAAACTTGGCAAGAGGTTGGAACTTGATCTAAAGTAGATATTTAAAGGTGAGTTGGAATAGCATATCTACAACAAAAATTGGGCTTGTGATAATTGCAAAAATATAAAGGGAGCAAAATGATTTATCACACTACTACAAGTTAAATGTTCTGGGGCTGATACAAGAGTTGAGATTTGGCTCGCTTTTTGTTGTCTAGTCATAGCCTGTGTAAGTGTGTGTGCATTTGCACATTAGTGTGTATGCCTGTATACATGTGACCCTAGAAGGATGTCTGTTTACAAACTGATTTATTCTTTTATTTTCTTTTGTTGTTTGTGATTGTCAATAACTGAAATTTTTCAAGGCCCCTGGACATCAGGTAAGTTCTCAGAAATCTTTCAATCACTTGAGAATTTATGCTAATTTTAAAAGATTACAGCAAAATAAGAAAGAAGCATATCAAATTGTCTGTATAGTATATAAGCTATGTATAAATGCATGCAAAAATAAGGCTAAAGGGAAAAGGGCCAGAATTTATCAGTGTTTGCCTCTTATATGGGATTAGGGGATTAATTTTTTAACTGGATTTTCCAATCTGTACATAAAAAAACAAGTAAAGTGCAATGCAAGGAAAAACTTTACCAATTCTTTAATGATCTGGAAAAGATCTCTCATTTCACCATAACTTTTATGAAGGGTAAATTACAGGCAGTAACTGCCACAGCTACAGAAGAATTCCTTTGAAATATTATGTCACCTGGACTGCAACTCTTGAGGCAGGTCTGGCCTAGACATCCTTAGGCTCTTCTTTCTCCGGAGAGCAGAGTCGGCCTCTAACTTGATTGACATTGCTTCTCCCACCACCAAGCTTCAGTTCAATAAAGGGGTCTGGTATAAAAGCTGTAGCTCAGGAAATTGAGGAATGGAGGGGTGAAGACACCATTTCTTACACTAATGTAACTGCTGGAACAATGGTATTCTTGACTGTTTTATTTTGTGTTTGTTTTCCTTTCTTCTCGTTTGTTTTCTCCTTTCTTACTTAAACTATTAGAAGCAGGAGTGGTTTATGGAGTAAAGTTTCTAAGTTTTGTAGATTGGCTCTATATCTGGGATATTGGAATCCATATGGTCACAGGTCATTTAAAAGTGATTCCTCTGTACAGTCCTCTAGCTCTCACCCTATCATACAAATCAACACAAAAATGATTGATTAGAAAGATCACTAGCATGAGTTATGAAACTATTCCCCACCTGGTCCTGTGACTAACTGGCAATGTGACCTTGAGCAAGGTATTTGCTTCTTTGGGTCATATCTATAAAAACAATAACAACAAAAACAAGGAGCAAGGCATTAGCTGCTGCTGTGGTCACTGTAGCTCTAAGACTCTGTGCTCCTGACAGGAATGGTGTGATGGGCCATAGATTGGTCCTGGGAAGAATCAGAATGACCTGCCCACTCAGGCTTCAGCTGTTCCATTGGGGGAATGGTCTGGGACCATCAGGGCCATGCTGGACTCTGAGAGTCCTCAGAGCAGGTGAACTTGGGCTTGAGTAGATCTGTTCTCTTCCCTTCCTGAATGTTCCTAAAGGGGGATGCTCATCCGTGGGGCCTCCCTATAGAGAGAAGTGTTCACCAATTCTGCTCTGCGCTTACAGTTGTCTAACTCTGAGGGGGCCTGTGGGCTGTACACACTCATGCTGTCCACGCCTCTCTAACCATATGGTCATCTCCTTCCCAAGGAACTTGGACACCATTTTCTCTTTCCCTGGGGGAGAAAGCCTGCGTGGTTTTGTACTGGTGACTGTTTTGGTAGAGAAAGCAGCAGTACCTGGGATTAAGGTATTTTCCACCCTCAGCATGTTTTGATTTGTTTTGTTTTGTCTTTCTCAATAAGAAATCAGTCTGAGCTTTACTTTGGTGAATTAATCAATATAGATGAGCATAGGCCTTGACCTGCTGTTTTATATCTGAGGAAAGAGGTCATGTTCTAGCCCATATTGATACTCACTTCTCCCAAATCCTACAAAACATGGAATTGACCATTTGTCCATTTAACAACAAGCATTATTCTAGACCAGTGGTTCTCAACCTTGGCTGCACATTAGAATCACCTGGGAATCTTTTTAAAATCCTGGTTTCTGGGCCTCATCTTCTGGAAATTCTGTTTCTTTGTTATGGGGTAGGGCCACAACATTAGTAACAAAGAAACAGAATTTCCAGAGGATGAGGCCCAGAAATCAGGATTTTAAAAAGATTCCCAGGTGATTCTAATGTGCAGCCAAGGTTGAGAACCACTGTTCTAGACAATGAAATATATGGGAGAACAAGACTGACATGGTTCTGACCCCCAGAGAAGCTCCTGATATAGTGGAGAAAGATGGGTTGATATATAGAGTAATAAGAAAATAATGCAGTGTTTTATAAAAAGACATCTAAAACTTAATTCAGACCTGAAGGGTCAGGCAAAACTTCCCAGGGGAAATGACAACTAAAGTTAAAACCTCAGTGATATATATAGGAATTAAGCAGAGAGAGAGAGAAAGAGTGACAGACATAAAGGCAAACAGACACACAGACATATTTCTAGCAGAGAGAACAGCTGTGCAAAGGCTCAGGAAAAGAACCATCACTGAGATTACCTAGCCTTCAGAGTTCAGGTAGCTTACAGAAAGGTCAAGTTTTGTAAGACGAATGACAGTGGAGTTCAGCTGGAGTGACTCAGTGTTGAGCATAGACCACTGGTGTGATTCACGTTAGGGCCACATGCCTTGGTTGTGGGCTGGATCCCCATTAGGGAGCCTATGAGAAGCAGCCGATCAATGTTTCTATTCCTCTCCCTTCCCCCTGTCTCTAAAATCAATAAAAAGATAATAAATAATAATAAAAAGACAGTCTGGCCAGCATGGCTCAGTGGATGAGTGTCGACCTATGAACCAGGAGGTCACAGTTCAATTCTTGGTCAGGGAACATGCCAGGGTTGCAGGCTCGATCCCCAGTGGTGGGCATGCAGGAGGCAGCCAATCAATGATTCTCTCTCATCATTGATGTTTCTATCTCTCTCTTCCTCTCCCTTCCTCTCTAAAATATAAATATAAAGACAATGGAGCAGTAGGTGATCAGCTATTATCTTCATGCATTGCCTGAAGATAATTAGTTAGGTTTATGTCTTTCCTTACCACCTTCCCTGATGAGCATATTTTAAGTCTTTACTGTGTCACCAATCCTGGCATAAGTATTATAACATTCTCATGACGGAGGGCCTCTGGAGCTGGGGGCTCTATGGGCTCTATAGAATCTGCCTGATTTTACGAAAACAGAGCTCAGGGGTGAGGGTCTCCTAATTCAAGATACAGACATAGACATTGTTATAATGTGTGATAAATACAAAAAAAAGGAAGGAGAAAAAGGATAGCATTATAGCAAGTAGCAATCAGTGGAAAGATCTAGAAAAATATGTCCAAGGGAGATGCCCAGAAAGGTTATCCTCTCAGGCAGACCTCACAGCAAATTGAATTTAGGGGAGCACGGGAAAACAGTCCAGCAGTCAGAAGGGCGCCCTTCCTGATTTCCATAGCTCTGATGCTCAGCTCACTCCACCTCAATGGGCCATAGTGAATGCTAACGGACTGAGTGAATGAACCTTCTCCCCAGGCACTTGTTCAAGCAGCGAATGCCATGCTGCAGCCCAGCCAGGACTCCCTGCTGCAAGCCCTGCAGCGGCTGAGACTCTCCATTCAGGACATCACCAGAACCTTAGGACAAATGCACGGTATGGGGCTGTTGTGGGTTGAGGGTTCTGCTTGGGCAGGGCTGGGCAACATCCACGAGATGGCGCTAGTGTATTAGCTTTGTTGTATGGTAACTGCTGTTTTAAATATTGGAGAATGATCTCAGTTTGCATAGATCTTCTGTGGTTTTGTCTTTTTTTAGTATTCTCTTGTGGTTAGGGTAGTTTGCTCTCTTCAGTGGCTGCATATTTCTTCGCATGTTAAGATCTTGCATGAAGTTTGGGAGGAGGGGGTGAGGCAAAAAACAACAAAGGTTGTATACATTCCATCCACCAATGTCAGGATACTGCAGTGTTGTCCTTATGCTTTCTTACACCCGTTTTATCCTTTTTCTCAAGGGGAACCTGGGATGACTGACCTGCTTTAGGCTCCTTTTCTGGGGTTAGTGCAGAGATGAGGTTTCACAGGTGGAGCCAATTCAGTGGCTCACCAGTCCTGTGGTTAGTTACATTTCATGCAGGAGACTACATTCAATTTCCAATGTCAAGACAGCTCTTCAACTTCCTCTATCAGGAGAACCTTGAAAGTGTATAGTGTGTGTGTGAGTCTGTGTTTTGTTCTTTAAGTAAAATTGGTATATAGCATTATATATTTCAGGTGTTTAACATCACAATTTCACATCTGTATATACTACAAAGTGATGTGCACCAAAAGTCTAGTTAATATACTAGTACATCACTATGCAACTGATTCCCTTCACCCAGTTCACCCAGTTCTCCCAAGCTCCAACCTCTGTTAACCACCAGTCTGTTGTCTGTATCTATGGGTTTGTTTGGTTTTGTTTGTACATTTGTTTTGTTTTGTTTTGTTTAGATTCCAATATGTATGAAATCATATGGTATTTGTCTTTCTTCATCTGACTTATTCACTTAGCATAATACCCTCATGATGTTGCAAATGGCAAGATTTTATTCATTTTTATGCTGATATATATATATATATAT